CATATCGAATTTTCGGTGGGAACGTACTTCTCCATAGTAGGGAAGTGTAAATTAACTATTTTTAGCAATCTGTCGGTCTGTCGGTCTGTCCGTCTGTCGGTCTGTCGGTCTGTGTGTGCACGCGTGTATCTCAAGTTCGACTGAACCGATTTTGATGAAATTTTATATGTAAGTTTGTTTCCACCATGGCACGGATCGATCAACTTTTGGTATATGTCACGCCTCGGGAACTGCACTTTTTAGCGGGCCTGTTTTACATTTTCGAACATTTTGAAGAAAATATTCTACCGATTAACTTGAAATTTTATATATAAGCTCAGCTCGACCGTCCGCAAAAATTCCTAACTTTTGGAAGAAATCAGACATCAGCAACTGGGCGTTTACTACGGGCCAAATATACATTTTTGTGTATATAAAGAGAAATAATCAACCGATTTCATTGAAATTTAATATATGAATTCCCCGTATTAAAACAATGAACATGTAAATTTTTTGGAAAGATCAGGCATCGGCAACTAGACGTTTACTACGGGCCAAACATACACTTTTGTGTATATAAAGAGAAATAATCAACCGATTTCATTGAAATTTAATATATGAATTCCTCATATTAAAGCAATGAACATATAACTTTGTTGGAAAGATCAGGGCTCGAAAATTGATTTGCGGGCCGATTTTACATTTTTCACCATATCCACAGAACAAATTGATGGAATTTCTTGAAATTTGATATTTGGGTTCTGGTTGTTACCCAAACTAACTGGCGAGCATTTCAGAGAATTCGGGTAGCACAAAGCGAAACTCTACTAAGAGCCAAATTTACTTTTTTCTAAATATGTTAACTATAAGCTTACTAATGTCCTAAAAATTGGAAAGAAGTATTTAACAGACATTTTTATAATGTTCTGTAACACTTTCATTTAACTAGACAATACACAATGCGGTCGGTTATGTGCTGACCACATCAGATTTTTTTATATCCTCTGGCTCACACGCTTGAGGGAGATTTCTAGCCATAACTTTAACTGGCCTCGTCAGTTTATTCTCATACGTGTGACACTTTAGTCTAGCCTTATTTATAGCTTTTGTTAGTAATCTGTATTCATTTTCATTTTCCACATTTATTTTTAATTGGTCATTATTCATCATATTGACCCTAACGTTTATTCTTTCTTCTTTTAATATCTTAACTATGTGGGAGTAGTTCTTAATGTTGCTCAATATAACCGGAGTAGGCTTGTGCTTTTTTGGATTTTCAGCCTTCATTTTAGGGCTGGTTTCATTATTTTTATTAACTGTCGTCTCTGAATTTATTTTAGGAGACGACAGCATTATTCCGTTTTAGGATCCAGTCAGTTTCTCTTGCCAGTTCTTCCTCGTCGGTTTCATATACAATAACTTCCGCATCTTTGTTTTTCTTTTCTGTTGATGCAGATTTTATTTGATTTTTTAAATCTACATTCACTGCCTGTAATTTGCAGATCTTGTTTTGTAGCACCTTACAAAGATTCTCCAACTCGGTTAGTCTCGAGTCCTGAGAATCCAATTTATTCTCTTGTATGAGATGCCTTTTCATATTACCCTCTTGGGTTTTCATTTTCTTGTCTTCCGCAAACTTATTAGACTTTTTCTTAGAGTTATCATCCTTAACTCTGTCCTTTTTCTCTGCAATCACCAATGGGGGTGATCGCATGACCACCGATCTCCTTCTAAATGGGTCCATCAAAGCCGATCTACTATGCTGTAAGTGGTCTCCACCAGAATCCATGAGACCAGCATCCGAAGAGTGTGGATTTTCCAGCATTACTGGATTACCACCTGGGGTATTCAATCCTTGTGTTTTGTTCATTGCATTTGTTTGTTTTATTTCGGAGTTTTCTTCTCCTAGCCTTTGAGAATAATTCCCTTCGTGCAAGGCAGCACGTATAATTTCTGCCGTCCCTCAGGGACCAGTCGCTGACCAGAGAGCCGCCCATTGTGAGTCCGTAGCGTCTGTTTTAAGAATCACTCAAAAAAAATAGATGTAATTTTTACCAAGTATTTGGTAAAAGACGCTATACAATCATTTTTTGGTGATATTCACAATTTTTTTGTCAAATTTATTAAATTTTATGAGAAATTTGGTAATACCAACCGAAAAAAATTAGTAAAACATACAAAAAAAACTGGTAGAAAAATTCTTTTGATAAATGCAACAAATTATTAAGTATAAGTGACAAAAATTATTGGTAACGTGCTTACAAACGGATTTGTTAATTTCACAAAATAATTTAGTAAAATATTACCATGTTTTTTTACTAGAAGGACAAAATTTTTGGTAAAATTTCCAAATAAAATTGGTAACAATTACTTGCTTTATAATTTTTATATCTTCTTATCATATCTGCTTTGGTAAATTTCACTAATTTACAAGTTTTACCTTGTTTTGTAGTAGATTTTACAATAATTTGGAAAATATTACAGTACGATTTCCAAATTACTTCGATAAAGTAACGGTTTGTTGTAACACTTTATTTCGTGACCGATAGTCAAAGAAGATGTGTTTTTTAAAAGTTTTTTATAAAAATTGGAATTGATACGTTGGAAATTATAATAAAATTTGAAAAAGTGAATTTTATTGTCTTTAAAATGAAAATAAATAAAAAAAAATCTGATGTGGTCAGCACATAACCGACCTCAATGTGTATTGTCTAGTTAAGTGAAAGTGTTACAGAATATTATAAAAATGTCAGTTAAATACTTCTTTCCAATTTTTAGGACATTAGTAAGCTTATAGTTAACATACTTAGAAAAATGTAAATTTGGCTCATAGTAGAGTTTCGCTTTGTGCTACCCGAATTCCCTGAAATGCTCGCCAGTTAGTTTCGGTAACAACCAGAACTCAAATATCAAATTTCAAGAAACTCCATCAATTCGTTCCGTAGATATGGTGAAAAAAGTAAAATCGGCCCGCAAATAAGTCTTCGAGCCCTGATCTTTCCAAAAAATTTATATGTTCATTGCTTTAATATGAGGAATTCATATATTAAATTTCAATGAAATCGGTTGATTATTTCTCTTTATATACACAAAAGTGTATGTTTGGCCCGTAGTAAACGTCCAGTTGCTGACGCCTGATTTCTTCCAAAAGTTAGGAGGTTTCATCGCCGGTAGAGCAAAACTTATATATGAAATTTCAAGTAAATCGGTTAAATACTTTCTTCAATATGTTCAAAATTGTTAAACAGGGCCGCTAAAAAGTGCAGTTCCCGAGGCCTGATATATCCCAAAAGTTGATCAATCCGTGCCATGGTGGAAATAAACTTACATATAAAATTTCATCAAAATCGGTTCAGCAGAACTTGAGATACACGCGTGCACACACAGACCGACGGACCGACAGGTTGCTAAAAATAGTTTACTTACACTTCCCTACTATGGAGAAGTACGTTCCCACCGAAAACTCGATATGCAAAATTTGTTGTCATCACATAACCTACCTATTGTTTACACAATACGGTCGGTAATAACAAGGATAATTGAGCTCTAAAATTGAAAAAAAAGTTAAGTAAATAAAGTGAAAATATTATTTTAATAAGTTAAATAAATCTATGTTTTTCACTCTTTTGAAATTTTACAGGCACGACGGAAACATCTTATTTAAAGGTTTCAAGGAGTTCAACATCGACCCACATAGAGGTTGACGAAATTCAAGTCATGATATCTTTTAAGAATGAGTACAATATAAAGAATTATTAGGATATAAACTGGTAAGAAATCATACAAAAATATTTATTATTTTATACTAGATTTTTTATGTGATTGTATAATTTTTATGTTGCAGTTTGATATAAATTTGTTGACTCTCATATTACTTAAAAATAAGCTCTGAGTGTTTTGTAATACCTGCTGATTTCATAAAATTTGTAAAAACAATTTATTTTAAAGTTTTCTTTAAATGAATTTTCAGGTTGCATAGTCATCATCTCACCTATTATTAAATAAATTGGTAAACGAAAAGATATCATTATTACCAATATACTTTAGCAAAAATAAAAAATGGTGTGTTTGGTAAAGTCACCAATATCATTTCTTACCATTTTCAATTGTCATTATTACCATATGCATTTGTAATAATTACCATTTCAAATTTTTATTTTTACCAATATACTCTGGTAATTATTACCGTTTATTTTTATCATTTTTACCATGTATGTTTTTCATTTCTATCATCTTTAACTGTATAAGCATCAACCTTCAATTTACTATACATTTGGTAGAAAAATTGTAGTTTTCACCAAATTTACTTGTTAGCGCAAAAGTACCATGAAAAATAGTAGTTTATACTAATTTTTGGTAATTATTACTAAGTTTTTTTAGTGTGAAGTTGTGACCACCCAGGCCTTTGTAGGTTGGTTTAACGCCCCCAGTACTAATAGGTCTGATGACAATTCAAGTCCACCTATCATTATCTCTCAATTATTGTAATGCATTTAATATTGTTCTAAAACATTTCAATATCATCTCTTAAAAAGTTCTTAGTAACATTTAAACCTTCGCATATAATTCATTTAGTTTGAAGAATATCTTCAATTTCTTGCATTATGCAAACCTAAATAAACCGCCATAAATTTAAATCCAAAAATAGTCGATGCAACAGCATTTCCATAACCCAAAATATATGGTCATAAACATATTACCTTATTGACCTAACAATAATTGCTAACAAACAGAAAGAAAGTAAATATAAAATAAATGTAATAAGAATCTTATGTAAGTACTAACCTAAACATAAGTTTAAAATGTAACAAAGAAGAATGGTAAAAATATATCTATAAATAGTACTAAATAAAAGAAGATCAGTACAGTTGTACGAGTTGATTTAAGTAAGTAACACTGGTTGTTTTATTTAAAGATTGATACGGATGTTAAATATAATCCGTATACATTATATTTATGTTTAACACCTGCTTAAAAAAAGGATAGAAATAAGAGGTGGTATTAGAGTTATCAATACTCACTTATTACAGCTAAAGCAAATGCCCACTTAATTTCACATGATGACAATGCATATCGATTGGCATCAGCTCCGCAAATGGTCCGACATTCTTCCGAATTCCACCCAAGAGGAAATGTTGCACATCCTAGGATCATAAAAGCCGCTGAAAAAGAAATAAAAATTAAAGTGTAATTATTAAATTCATAAATTGAATTTATGTAATCAACATACTGAATATATGTAGGATATTCTCAAAATAATAACTATGCAAACGTAGCATACAAAAAACATTTATATAAAACGATTTCAAGATTATCGTAATGAAAATTCATATTACTTTACCATTTATTTGCAAGTTGATGTGACTTCAATGAAGTACAACAATTTTTCACAGCCTTTTCGCGGTTAAATGAAACACAATTCAAATAATGTATTCGAGTAATTACATGCCAAATCAGCCTTCTCAGGCAGCATTTCTATAAGATATAATTTTTGGCCGAATTGTGAGCTTCAGGAACAGAAATATAAGTTACATTTAAGTGAGATTTTGTTAAGAGCGCAGTTATCGAAAATAGATGAAATTTTTGAATTGAAACTCAATGATTTCTGAAATACAAGAATTTTAAGAAAATCAAACGGACAACAGGTTTTTTATATTTTTATATTTAAGATTTTTTTCACAAAAAGTTCTTTACCATCGACTTAATTTTAATATTATTGCAAACACTCACACACTTTCTTAAATCTTTACATATCGTAAGCTTGGCTTAATTGTAAATATTAAAATTACCTACATAATAATTCAGTTACAAAATTAAATTACATAAAATTATACACACAATATACATATATAACATGATAGCCTTATCAGCTTTCCAGCGAATTTCTTAAAGTACCGTTATGTCAGAAAACTAAAGATTCTTTTTTAGAGCCCCTATAGCAGTGTTGCTAATTTTACTGCAATTGTAGTTTTTTACTACATTTTGGCATTCTCTGCTACCATACTACTGCAAAGCCATTTTCACTGTTTTGCATTTATTCTCATTTGTATTGTTACAACCCGAATTAAATCTAGAACCTTGTTTGAAAAACGATTCCGCGATTCTTAAATAAATTCATATTTTAAAACTGAAAACTTGGATTTTTAATATGGAGCATAAATGCGAAATTTTGAAAGCGGTTACATTAAAGATATAAGTTTATTGAAATTTGTTTTGAATAGAATTCAACTAAACACCTAATAAATTTTTATTATGTAAAATTCTTTGTGTTTCTAAAATTCGAAATCATTTTCCAAAAAAAAGTTTATATTCGAAATTCTTAAGTTCACGCTTTGCATTTTTTTTGCAGCTAAGTTCCAATTAATTTTAAGATTTAAATAATTGCAAGAATTTTAAAAATTAATATACTTATATAAAAGTATTTTTATTATCATAAAATATTTTTGAAAATTTAAATAACAAAATTTTAAGCGTAATGATTATACGTTAATTAATACTAATTAATTCATAAAAACAATAAAAGAACGTTATAATTAAGCTCTGCAATTGTTTGTATTTTAAATATATTAAATGATTTTCTCGTGCAAATGTGAATAAGCCATATTGGTGACCCCTACTGAACGATGTGTTTAAAATTTCTATTTCAATAAGTCTATGTACAAAAGAATAAAATGTGACATACAGAATGATTCAGTAAAAAAAAAATACAATATTATATATCATTGTTTAGGGCATCAAAAATAGGTAAAGTTTTTATTTGGAACTAGTTGTCAAAATCCAACGGTTTCCGACATACGGCGATTTTAACGAATTTTCACGAAAATTTTACTAGCCCAAGTTTGTTTGCTTGTAACGTCCCTCGTAAAAAAGTTAGAGGCTTCAAATTAAAAGTTTCTAAAAAGGTTAGTAACATACTTTTTGATTTCGTATTCCACATGCTTTCGGAATACCAAGCATTCGAATTTTAGGAAAACGTCAATTTTTTCCATTTTGTATTTTTTTTTCAATTTTCTTCAAACCTACAATCTTTTGTAAAAACTTTAGAAACTTTAAGTTTTTCAATTACAGAATTTTGGCCACTTTAATTTAAGTCAAACGTTAAACAATCTTTTACGACTCAGGAGATATAGCAGAAAAACCATTTCCATGTCAAGATTTTAAAGGCCCTAATAATATTTATGTAAAAAATCAAAAAATTGTCAGTTTTTCCAAATTTCACTGATTTTAAGTGCTGTAATGATTAACCACTACTAATTTTTTAGTTAACAGTTACTTTAAAAAGCGGTTGACATTTTTAAAAACCGTTATTTTGGTAAAAAAAATAATATTTTTATTGAAATACAATAAATTTTATAGCAAAATCACAATTCTAGATTTTTTTTGAAACCATTTTCTGCAATTAAACTTATTACGGGGTGCGCCGAGCAAAATTGAACCGAAGATTGTCGAACTACTTGAAGGACCAACTTTTGTCATCACCCTCACTTTTTCTGGAGGCGTTAGCTTCTTCAGCTTATTTCGCTTCTGGAATCCCTATATAGGTTCAGCTATTCAGTATTTGGAGTAACAAGCTGAAAAAAAGCGAAAAATATGGGGAATTTCCTCTGAATTTATGTATTTCATTGAAAATCTTAAAATTTCACTTATTAGTATATTATTAATGTTGTAAAAACGCAATTTTAACTAAATTACAATAAAAAATTTAATACATAACTATATTATCTTAAACTTTAATAATGCAAAATAATTTAACCTTTGACAAAAAATTTACAATTATAAGAACTACAACAAAATAAAACAAATGATCTTAATCAAAATGCAAACTACTATGGCGGCTTCCGAAGGTATCGGACGACTAGTGAATGTATGTTTTATATTATTAAAAACAAAAAAAAATCACTTTTTTGAAATAACTAAATAAAACACCAGAAACTTCTATTTAACACACAAAAAATATATTTATTTGAATCGAATGATTTATTTCATTGAAAACTGATGACTGAATTTACAAATGATTTCTTATACTTAAGTTTTATTCTAATAAGTAATAATTGCTGATATTAACAAAACGTGTCTACATTTGGTGTGAAAGTTTTGTTGACATCCAATTTTAAAATTATGAAATTGGAGTCGCATACATATATGTTATGCATATATAACAGAAAATGTTGGGTCATTCCCAACTGTATTATAAATAACCTCTCCCCCGTAAGGTCTAGAATTCTCCGGAATTCTATTAAAATTTATTTATTTCTTTCTTAAACTTTATAAATAATGCAAATACTTCAAAGGAAATTGCTATTGACAATATTATTATGATGGTTACATTAATTAAAATATATGACCCATTTTTATGATAGTATAAAATTGTTATATTTTTTATATTATTAGAGTTTTTTGATAAAATTTCATTAAGTGTGGCTCATGTCTTAAAATTCTTAAAATTTTCATTATTATTACATTTATAGCATAATAAGACCCCTTCTTTAACCTTTTGAGTGCACACTTATATTTTAAAGATGCTGAGTGCACACATGAATCACTTTTGTCTCTTGTCCTTAAATTTGCAAAAAAAGAGCTTAAATTTTTAAGTGTTTGAATAAGTTTAAGTATTTCACTCTTAAAATAAGTATATTTAAAAAAAATCGTAATTAGAAAAATACAAATTCATTTATCGTTTAAATTTGTAGGTACTTCAGTATATTCAAAATTTCCATGTCATAGAAGGTATAAAAACACACTTTATATATGTACTAAAATAACAAAATCATAATTTATTAATTTTTTTTAATTTTTAAATTATAAGGAAAAAAAGTAAAGCAAAAACCAAAAAAAAAACAATTTGCAGCCGTGGCTTAGTGAAAGGGTATTAAATCGCCGATTTTCTGCCAACAATTTTGGCAAATATAATAAATATCGCAGTATCATCCTTACACATTGGCGTATCGCAATTCCAACACATATACAAAGCTTTTTTTTATAAAAAAAACATCATATATATGCTGTAAACCCAAGAGCCGCGCCACTTTCTTTTATTCAATTTTGTGTTAAAATCTTTAGCTATAATATTCGGCTTAAAAAATTCTGTCACGTTCGAGAACTTCATTTAAAATAATTTTTCTCTTTCATGATATGACTATCCCTAGAAGTTCTGGTAAGCTATAATAGGATATATTTTTTTTCTATTACATAGTCTTCTACGAGTATTAAAATGCCTTAAAATCACTACCAGACTCGACCTTCACACTCTCTTAGGTTTGGATCTCCAACACCATCTTCATCTAGAAATATTCATAATTTTTTCGATTTCCGTATTAGTAAGTCTTTTGCTCACTTTTATTATATATGGAATATGTAAGCAATCAAAAGGTTATGTAAGCAACAGTTATCAAAATGGATAAGCATATTTTAAATAAAATTAAATTTCTATTGTCATAAGTTTGATTAAGTACAGTATTTTTTGCACTTTTTTTAAGATGGTTTCTTCATTAGTTTCAACAATTTGTGTGAAGCTTAACATTATTTTTGAAAGTACACTGTTTGTTCAATTTTAATACGATTAATGTTTTCGATTCTTTATAATAATAATTCAAACTATTATACTCAAAAATGGTTGCGTAATTTTGTTTTATTAATTTTGATAATAAGCTAAGTAATTTCTGACTGTAGTATTGTTTTGTATTGAATTGTATTATTCTGTTATTGTGGTGTCCGGTTCTGTTGTTCTGTTATTGTGTAACGTGTTATAAATTTCTTATGTGTTGATACTTATGTCTGTTTTTGCGACTAAATCTGATTCATTTAAATTTATCTTAACGAAACCTGTTTCTGCTGTTATACTACTAACTGGCAATAAATCTAAAATAGATGTTAAAAGAAATATAATCATTGTCAATATTTTCCAAGCCTAAAAATTCGACAGATCGTTTAATATCAGAAATATGTATGTGTTTTAGTAAGTTTAAATTTTTTGTTCTTTTTGTTCTTTGAATTTTTTGAATTTTGGTTGTTCTTTGTTTTTAATTTATAATTTTTAATACAAGCCGTAGATTTGGTTTCCTCATAGTGTTCTCGGTTTTTATTTACTTTGTTAGTTTTACGGTTTCTAAATTTGTTTTAACTTTTTCAAAATCTATTTTATGATATGTACTTCTTTTGGAGT